TTTGACTTTATACTATTTGTCATTTTATGTTTGATATTGACATATTGTTGATGTAAAAGATGAAAATATTATATGATTATATTATAATGTCATGTCATATAATTAGTTAAGAGTTTATTTAATTAAAAATAAAATTTAATTTAATTTTTTTTAAATAATTCAATTTTTTTTATAGATATTATATCTTAAAAATTAATATAATATACCAAAAGCCCATGTGACAACGACCATAATTACCCTTCTTTCTTTCTTTTTCTTTTAACAAGGTTTGAAGATTTTAACAAAGTAATAGATGTAAGATATAATTACTGCAAGCAAATGTACAAAATTATAATATATCACCAAAAATTTTTTTATGAGTATTTTGAATTGTTATGTCTAGTAGGACTATTGTATTTAACATATAGCAAGAAAATAGACTAGTTGGTCGAGTTAAAATCAAGCCTTTATCTAATATTTGATTCCAAAATCATTTAACTTGTTATTTTGTTTAATTTTATATGCTAATTTTCAATATTTGTTTTATATAAAGAATATTAACTGAATTATATAATTGCCCTTAAAAAGACTAACGGTTCCCGCATGGTAAAATCAAACCTTTATCCAATATTTCATTCGAGGATCAGGCGAACTAATTATTTTGTCTATAAGCAAAATAAAAGTGTAATTTTTTATTTGATGAAGACTTTTATAGCAGAGAAGAAATTTAGGGATGTAAATGAATTATTGTTATATTAATAATTATGGGTACTCGACTTGATAACATAAAGTTTGAATAATCTTGTATTTGATTATGAAGCATATTCAAGTATCACCCGTATGATATCTTAAACCCGAATCCAATTATACACATATCACTAACAAAAATTTAGATTTTATTGACGAAATCTTTTATTGGTAAAACATTATAATCTGTCAGTGTTCTAATTTATTGATAAAAATGTCCACATAAAAATCTGTTAGCATATGATTGGAAATACCCGAACAATCACTCTGTTGGTGATGGAATAATTCGTCGATCGAAGGACTGGTCGGTGATACAATCATTTTTTGTCAAAAATTTTCTTTGATACAATACCGAAAGATGTTAGTGACAAAATAGCCGACAGATTGAACGTAGACTTCATTGTCAGACTCCACCAACAAAAAGCGTGAATCTATCGGTAAATTTCATCTATATTTAAAAAATAATAATTTTTAGAGCATAATGGTAAAAAAATTAAAAACTATATCAATACAAATATTTAAGAGAAATAATTTTAAATATTTCAAATATGAGAAAAATATTTTTTAATTAATAAAATATGAATGTAAATTGTATTATTTTTATTATAATTAATTAAAAATAAAAAGTAAAACAGTGTATAACTATATGAAAAATAAAAATAATCAAAATGCTGCAAAAATTTTATGAGATGAGAGAGGGTAAAGTATAACAATTGTTAATGTACGCAACTTCTATAATTGTATTTTGTGTTTAATTCAAAATGTGGTAAAAAATTTATAAATCGGTAGAAATATTGTTAAAAGATAAAAAGAGTGCAATTAAAAAGACTCTTAATAGCACTATTGAAAAAATACAATAAAAAATCAAATTTGTTATAACGAAGTCTTCTGCATATTAATCTAGCAACGCTATGCAATATGCTCCACAATATTTCCTTTTATAAATAATCATAAATTAAGGGAACAAAAGCATATATAAAATATATTATATTATATTTATATTATGTTATGTTATTTCCTCAAGAATAAAATCATAAATTTTGCGATGATCATCAATTGAACTCTCACCTTGCGATTGATGGGAAAATGTGATATATGTCGAGTCTTCTTTATATGAATCATCTCAAAATCAAGGTCGTATCCCTATTTAATAGTGATAGATCAGTTTGGTTTTTCTTTTTCCTTTTTTGTTTTTAACAATTAGCAATACAAGAAGCTCACACTATATATATATATTTATATATATTCATATATTCATAATCTAACAATTAATGATGTGAGAATTTTTTTTAATAAATGAAATATTCCTTTCCGTAAGTTAAGGAATTGACCAAACCCATATAATAAATGAAATACTAATGATACATGCCCTAAATTAGTTTGATACCCTCATTTAACAAGAGGTTTACCAATTTTTTGACAATCAAGACCCAATAAGGCTCTTTAAAAATAACCCTAGGTTCCACATACTACTATAAATAGAGAGTTCATATGTAAGGTAGATTAAACTAACACCCCATAGAAATTTTATTGAGCTTCGAGTAATTTAGCTTTCTACTTGAAGGTAGTCTTTGTCTTGGGTAAAAATTATCTCTTTTTAATTCTACTTTTCTTGTGTTCAACATACGTTGGAATATTGTGCTTGTTATTTATTTTTAATTTAATTTTATGTTGAATATTCAAGTTTCTATCTGGATATCTTGCTTTGAATTGCTTCCTTAATTGCTTATTATATTTGGTTTAACTTGTGGTCTTACACTTCGCCTTCAATTGTGAACACAGGCATGGGTTCTTGGCTGATTGTGGGATTTGTGGTAGGGGTGATATTGGTCGTTCTTTTAGGCTTCTGCGCTTGGTCATTCAAACCACCAGCGAAGCAAGCAGGTGGAAATGCAGACGCTTAACCATAGCATTTGAACGAAACAGAGACCAAAAAAAAGAAAAAAAGAAAAATGAAACTATTATATTATATATTATCTTCGAAATTAACCTTCATGGAGTAAATGAGGTTAAAGTACCATTATATATGGATGTAATCCTTATACATTGTTTGTTCATGTCTTTATTCCGTCTTAATTAATAAAAGACTCATTTTGAATTTTAGTTTTATTTTCATGTTCATTTCTTTTTAATGAAAATAAATTCTTTATTGATCAAGCAAAGAATTCGATTAAAAATTAACCTCAAAACGTCACACATTCAAGAGGATTTTGCATGATGAGTGATTAACTGGTAATTGTACTAAATATATCAAGCTTTATGTATATAATAATCAAGCTTTATGCATACTATAATTAAGAAAATTAAAATAATGACTATTACCATATGCACTCTTTAATTCGTGATATAAAAAGATTTTTTTGTAATAAAAAAATAAATTTTTATTTAAATTTTTAAAAATAATTCAAATTTGTTTTTAAAATATTATGCATTAGAAATATAATTTCTTATCACGTTGCAGCCATAAGTAAAATTTATTCTTGATCGGGATAGTTGATTAAAAACATAAATACAAAAATATGCAGTAAAATAATAAAAATAATATTTTCATGAATTCAACTACGAACAATCATCAAATTTCAAATAATAATTAAAATTTGACATATATATTTATTTTTAATTTATTTACTTTGAATCTATAAAAAAAATGTTTACACACATGTACGAGTGTGTGAAGCGTGTGAGACCACACGGGGACCGCATGGACAAACCGAAGTAACACATGTGAACCACCCCTGTTTTAATTTGCCTTTGATAATGACCTAACTTCCCATTAAATGTGTTTTCAACTTGAAATGTTAAAATCAAAATCAAACGATCGAACGGCGCCAACATATTTTCCCGCTAAAGCTTCAAAAAATTAAAGCTTCCCTTGTACGCCCGACCGTTATGCGCTCCATTTAATTTCCCGCACCCAATAAAAATAAGACACGTAGCTAAATATTCTTTAAATACCTTAATTATCCTTTTTCCCGGTAAATTCCCCCGCAAGCTTCTTCCAAAAATATTTCGAAATCCCGCGCTCTTTTTCTCCTATAAATTACCTCTCTCCTTCTCCAGATTCCTCACCATCGAAAGCATTTCTTCAAGACCCCTAAATTCTGTTAATTACCCAAATCACCCTTCGAAAATGCCTTCAATTCCAGAAGAGCCACTGCTCGCCTCGAACCCGGACCGGTTTTGCATGTTCCCGATCCAATACCCGCAAGTATGGGAAATGTACAAGAAAGCCGAAGCCTCCTTTTGGACCGCCGAAGAAGTCGATCTCTCGTCGGATCTACGCCACTGGGAAACTCTTACCGACGGCGAACGCCACTTCATCACTCACGTCCTCGCCTTCTTTGCAGCCTCCGATGGTATCGTCCTCGAAAATCTCGCCGTCCGGTTCATGAAGGAAGTCCAAATCTCCGAGGCTCGTGCGTTCTATGGCTTCCAAATCGCCATCGAAAATATCCACTCCGAGATGTATAGTCTCCTCCTTGAAACTTACATCAAGGACTCCAACGAAAAGAACCGGCTCTTCCACGCCGTCGAAACAGTGCCATGTGTGGCTAAGAAAGCTGAGTGGGCATTGAAATGGATCGACGGTTCGGAAACTTTCGCCGAACGGCTAATCGCTTTTGCTTGCGTGGAAGGGATTTTCTTCTCTGGAAGTTTCTGCGCGATATTTTGGTTAAAAAAGCGCGGGTTAATGCCTGGATTAACTTTCTCAAACGAGTTAATCTCACGAGATGAAGGTCTCCATTGCGATTTCGCTTGCTTGCTGTACTCCCTCCTCCGGTCAAAGCTGAGCGAAGAGAGCGTGAGAGGGATAGTGAGGGACGCAGTGGATATAGAGAGGGAGTTTGTATGTGATGCTCTGCCGTGCGCATTGGTTGGGATGAACGGAGAGCTGATGAGTCAGTACATCGAGTTCGTCGCAGATCGGTTGTTGGGGGCGTTAGGGTACGGGAGGATTTACAATGTGGCTAACCCTTTTGATTGGATGGAACTGATTTCGTTGCAAGGCAAAACCAATTTCTTCGAGAAAAGAGTTGGAGAGTACCAGAAAGCGGCGGTCATGTCGAGTTTGAATGGAAATGGTGGGACCCATGAGTTCAAGATGGATGAAGATTTTTAGGGTTTTTGTTTTATTTATTCTTTTTCTTTTTTAATTTTACTTGCTTGGCATTGTATTTTATTTTTATTTTTTAAAATGTCTCTTGCTTGATAAATTAGTTAAAGAAAAAAGTTATAAAACCTTCACTGTTCTGTTTAGTTCTTGTATCTTTTCTGTAGATGAACGCTCCGATTAGATATCAATGAGGGTAGTTTTGTAATTATGCAACAATTTGGGGAGGTTTGGGATCTGATTTAGAAAAGGACATGACTTATTCTTTTGGCCTCAAATTTTAAAAGGCTTTATTTTTTCTTTATTTGGTGTCGAATCCTGGAAAATTTTCCATCAATGGCGAATACCCAGTTGCAGAAATACGGGATGCTATCCAGGGAACAGTTGGTGTATCTCTTTGATCGATTCTCTGTTCTTGTTTCCCAGCCCGGTACTTTTCATGTTTTGTCTCACTGACTTTGCTGTTATTTATCCTAGTTGTCTGCCTAATTAGTAGCACTTTCCTTGTCTTGGTAGATGTTAAGAAGAGAATTGTAGAAGCCGTGGATGACAAGCAGGTTAATTCCATCCCTGATCCAAGTCTTTGGTTTGAATGCCAATTCACTGTTCTTTTTGTAATGTGCTCTTAGCTTGTATAGGTAGGGATTAAGGGCTTGAGAGGTTCAACTGCATACATAACTGCCATTTGAGTCTTCTTCATTTGTGATAATGGAAATGGCTACCCATTTTGTCAAAATTGTAGTTCATGTTGGTTTAAATGGGTTTCTTTTTAATTATTTATTGTGTTTTTATTTCCTCTAAATACGCATATAGCGTGTTCTAATTTTTGAAGTTGGATGCAAAGAGGGTCGAGAGAAAATTTGTTAAAGAGTGATTTCATATGTATGATTCACTTAATGCAATCCATTGAGTTGTAGACATGAAAGTAGGACTTTATGATTCAGACATGATATTAAACTGTCTTTCCTAGAAAAAGTTCCTGTGGGGATGATGTTGACTATTTTGAGTCAGTCTGTTAACCCCATTTTCTGAAATTTCATAAATCCTTCTGCAGGAACCTGTTGCAGTTACTACTGCAATCCAGGAAGAGATATTTTGGGAGATGGGGGTTGGTAAGTATTTTCTATTTCGCAACTAGTATTAAGTTTTATAGGATCCTATTATTGTTTTTTTTTTCTTTGAAAAATGGTTTTTTTAAATAGACCCAGAGCTAGTATGCCATAACAAGTCTTTATCCATGATGGAAGAAGACTTCTATTGGCATAAGAATCTAGCCTTGGTAAGAATGACGAATAAATACATCAAAAGCTGCTCAAAATGCATAATAGAAACACTATACAATCCTCTCGGGACTGGATGCAACTTCCTACACAAACTAGAAACACTAGACCTACAAACTTAGCTCCCTGTTCCCCATAATCCTCCCTATTCCCCATGATCCTATCGTCGTCAACTCTAACCTCTCTATGTTTACTTTTTCGGCGAGTAGAGACTGGTGTTACATTTTAGTGCTTATTGGTTTATTGACCTAACATATCATTAGAAAGCACATCCAAACCTCATGTGACTGTTGGTTAGTAGCATCATTCTTAATTGAATAGGAACTTATTCATTTACTCCATCCAGCAAGCGTGTTTTCTATTCCAAAGATAATTTACTGGTAGACTCTCCTTAAATACCTCTTTTTAAACTGACATTGTTTTTGAGGGTAGGGCAAAGTGATATTACCTTGTTTTGTAAATATGTTAAGAGAATTCCCCTCTCTTTGTTAATTTGAGAATCTAATGTGGTTTCTTCTGTAGCTGTAATTTATATCAGTTGACAAGAGCTGAATCAAGTGATTAGCAAAATCATTGATCTGCTTTTGTCCTAGCTTTTGGCGGTGTTTTACATATAATTTCTCTGCTACAGATCCAGGTTTTGGTCTTGCATGCCTGGGGAAGGTGAATATGACTTATGAGAATGATCAGGATCTGATGATTCACTATTACAGATTTGTTGCCAGGTAATCTCTCTCTCTTTCTCTCTCTCTCTTGGTGTGTATATCTGTGGGTGTGTGTGAATGCACATGTGCACATTTAACAGTTTTGAAGTTATGAATTGGCTCTAGTTGCACTAATGTTTTGAAGAGGAAAATACTGCATGACCTATCATAAATGTTTTGAACAATCCACAATCATTCTTCTTGGATCTGCAAGTAAGTGGGACAAGTCTCAGATGTTCCACTTACTAACTTCTGATATGTGAGCAACTCTGAGGAGGCTTTCTGCCTTTGCTCACGTGCAATCTCGAGTTTCTATTGTATCAAGTCTGTAATAATTGTAACACGGTTGATTCATTTGTATTTTAGTATAGTTTGGTTTATGTTTAGCGAAGGAAATCGAACTTACCTCCTTTTTCATGATATTGATATCTCGAGAGTGCTGCTTTGTATATAAGTGGCAGTTTAATTCCCTCCATCATAAAGTAGTTATATGTTGGTGTGTAAGATTTGATATCTAGACTTGCCAACACTTATTCCATGAAATAACAGTGAGGAGTTGGCCTGTGATGAAGCTGAGCTTGGACCTGAGGAATTTGCTGAAAAGCTTGATAGTCAACAAAAACTACAGGAACAGGTAGTAACCATTCAATATTTGGTAAAAGTATGAAAATAAATACTGCTTGATTTCTTAAGCTGAATAATTTTGCAGCAACTGGAGATGCTCAAGTACATGCGCAAATTTCACCTGATGATCAATCTGCAATCCTTGAGAAGGTAGGTGCCTGCATTCTTATTCTTGTCCTATAGAGCCTAGAGAATTGGACCCTTAGGCACTTGGATGACTTGATTTGCTAAATTAACCAAATTCGGGAGAAAGCATCTTTTTACTTTGACATTCAGAGCGATGGACTCTAAAGTTGGATGAACCTAAGTGATTGTTTCGTTGCAGTTACACAATCAGTTGGAAGATGCTAATTTTGACAGTGAGGCATCAGTTTTGTCATCAGAACAGATTCAAGAGATGTCCGAAGGAGGGTGTCTCCTTTATTCAGACCAAGGTATGTCTACACGTGATTTTTGGGTGTCTAGCTTCACTGTTAGCCTGCTATGTATAGGAATTGATGGTATATTTCAGCGGTATGGTTATATTTCAGACTATCAAATTTGTCTAACCAAGTCTTGTTCCTGTTTTCTCAATTGTTGTCTTGGTCTATTGGGTTGACAGAGTGATGATCTAAGAATCCAACAGTGTAATGCTTCCTGCTTCAGTCTGCTCATCCTTGAATGATACCATGATTTTGAATCTTCAAGTTCAGAGTCCATTGCACTGCAGAAGGCTGTGTTTAACATAATCTACATGAGCCCAGCTGTTGTCATCCCAAGAACAATTAGCGAAATATCCTGGTACAGAGATGCCTTTGTTTGGGTTATTGTTCCGAGTTTTATTGCTCTAATGCTATGTTAATTGACTCTTTTTATCTTCCAAAAAAAAAAAAAACAGCTTGTTTTTTCTTTTCTAAGCAAAAACTGATGAATCTGTTTTCATCTAATCCTGTTTGTTTTCTTCATTTTTATCTGAGTGGATTATCAATCAGATTGGTCTGTCATGTGAAAATGCTTGAATCTTACTGGTATTTTAGATTGAATATAATATGGCGTGCATATGTAGCAATGACATAGGTAAAGATGGCATGCATATTTGAATCTCCTAAAAATTTATTTGATCAATTTAACATACGAGGAGATGGTTGAGTAAATATGGTAATTAATAGTATGTAAACAGATATTCTAGATGTTCAAGTAAGATTAAGGTATTTCATAAACATGTTTGGGTAAAGTACAGAGAGTAATTTAATTAAAGTATTTTGTTATTTGAATGTGATTATAGATAATTAATTTTTTCAAATTTAATTATTTTTTTGAAGAAAAAATTTATTTTTATTTGTATAATATTTTTAGTGTATGCATTATTTATAATTGACAAATTATTTATTTTAATTTATAAATTATCTAAATATAAAATTTACTTTAATTTATTAATTTAATTTTGACTTAAAAATTCATAAATTAAATTTTATTTCTTATTATAAAATGTGGGTTGAGTTTTATATAGAGTGTTTACATGATTTTAAATTAAACAAGTTTTTAATTAGTACTTTATGTTATGATGTCTATGAAATGATATCTTTTAGATTGAAAAATTACTAAATCTCCTTCTCATTCAGACGTGGAATGCACCTCTAAATAATTTAGTGACAGCAATTACATGTAAAATCATGGTTTCATGGCTATATACTAATTTGCTAATATTAAAAGATTGAAGGTAGGTTATTACATTATTTTCAATTTGAGAATCACAATTAATAATTATATATAATTTGTATAAGGAAATTCTAAATTTAAATTATTTTAAATATTTATAAAATAAATTTATGTAAGAGTTATTTAAGGTTTTAACTCTTTTATGTTTTAAATATTTTGATTCTAATAACTTAAGTTTTTGTATTAATTTCAACTGAATTAAGTTATTTTTTAAAATAATAATATATAATTTTAATTATTTTTATAAAAATAAGATTTAAAAAGGAGAAACTAATATATATATATTTATTTATAATGTTTATTTTAAATTTTTAAGTAATTTTGAGTTCAATAGAGATTATGTTTGAATTTGAATTATTTTAAGGGTCCATTTGGTAATTAAAAAATAATTTGTTGAGAAAAAAATTTTCAGTGTAAAATATTTTATAGAAAAGCTTAATGTTTTTTGTTGTTTGGATAAATTATTAAAAACATTTTATATCGTTTGGATGATAATGTGAAAATCACTAATGAAGTTATTAAGTATTAAGATGATAAATAATAGTTAATTACAAAGCAATGGTGTTATTTGATTAACTAATTTGAGATTAAAATAAAAATATACATTAAAATCGTTAAAATCAATAATAATATTTTTTAAAACATTTGATCACATATTTATAATTATATATAAAAGGAAGCTAGTGTCTTATTTTTATGTCATATAGAGTGATAGTTTTGCGTTATGTGAAGTTTTAATTGATTAACATGTGAGTTGATTAAATTTGAAGATTTTCAGACTTGGATTCGGACTTATTTCGCTTTAAATGTGCACTCTTGAGGTTTATTTTTTATTTTTAAATTTTTCAATTTCTCAACATGATCGCTCTTTATCAATTCTTATATTCCACATAGATTTATAAATTTTTCTATGAATTCTGTTGCTTTATCTTCAAGCAAGAGCTTTCAAACAAAGGACTAGATTTTTACTTTTTGCTTTAGTCAGACTTTTTCTAACCTGTAAAATCATATTTGTTGGGTTATAGGCTTTGAGGTATGGGTTATCCACTATTGGTGACCCATAAGATCGAAATAGTAAAAGCTGGATGGATGCATGGCTTGTCAACTTGGTAGTAAATCTTGCTAAGTGCCTCACACCTCATTTGCACCATATGGATGTAGACCGCTTTGCTCCCCCATTACCAATACTACTTTTATCATCTGTTCTGTATAGTGCTTTTTTTAAGTAAATTATTTTCTTTTAGATGAAAAGTAGTTTACATCGATTAAGTTGTTTGGATTTGGTAACGGGTTTGAATTTGGTTAATGGACGTTTATAGATATCAATTAAGTATGCTCATATTTGAATATTTTATTTAATGATTAATGTCGTATGTGAGTATTTTATTTAATGATTAGTGCAAAATAATAATTTATAGAATCCTAAGAGTGTTAGTATCTCATTACTTTTTTAATGTAAGTTTATAAAAATATCAATATTTATCAATTGTGTAAGATATTTATCTGTATTTATTATAAAAATATCAATATTTATCAATTATTTAAGATATCCAAAATCTATAATTATATATATTCATCAAATGAGTATCATTGAATATTTTTTATTATAATTATTATTAATAAGATTTATTCAATTTATAAATAAAAAATTTAATTGCATTGAACAGTTTTATTAAAAAGTATTTTTAATTTTAATAGTATTGAATAATTTAAATATTAATATTTTAAGTTAAAATAAATTTTAAGTTAAATATATATTAATATATTTTTAATTTTTTAATTAGTTTAAGTTAAATATTAATATTTTTAGACTCAGTATAAGATTTTTTTTTAGAAAATATCTTTAGATATAAGATATTTTCCGTGTTCAATGACGATTTTTTTCATTGACTCGTAAAATGTTTTACATTTAAAATAAGTTTTGCATCTTTCAAACAAATATAAGTCTTTAAAATATTTTTTAAAATTTATTTTACATCAAAATAAATGAGAGCTAAGTTCAAATTGATTCATAAGTCAATACAAGAGTTTAAATTTTAATAAACTTTTGTTAATCAAGTTTGATAAACTATCAATAACCTTATCTTCCACCACCAAAACTATTGCTACAATTTATATAATCAAGTATTGTTAATCTCGAATCTAATTTCTATGACCAAAAAGCAAAACCAATTCTCAATTCAAGGAAGAACCAACCTGAGGACCCTTGAATCACAATAATGGAGAAAACGAGTCTTGTTCTAGAGCTCAACTTGATCTCCGCACAA